TGGTGATCGTCTCCTAACGTGGTTTGAATCATATGTATCAGATTAATCACAATATGTGTTCATTTCTGATAGCACCTCCATCTCCCGGTCATGTGTGGTGTTCCCAAGGGCTCTATACTTGGCTCCCTACTATTCACATTATTTATAAATGATATGCCTAATGTCTGCAAATCCTCAACTGTACACATGTACACAGACTACACTGTAATCTACGCTAGCAAACTAAGTCTACTAAAGCTTGAGGCTGTGTTCCAAGACCAGTTCACAGAGGTAGAAAAGTGGATCCCGGATAACAAATTCTTCCTAAACACTGACAAAATTGTCACAATGATCTTTGGAACTTTACCTAATTTAAATAAATTACAAAATTCCCAACTATGTACCAGAACAAATTCAAATAGAACACTGATTGCAGTCTGTTCTTTAAAATATCTAGGTATGTTGCTAGACTCCAATCTGTCCTTTGTCCTTCACATTGAAAAACTTTATCCAAAACTAGGTGCCCTGTACAGAAACAAATCCTGCCTAAGCCATACACTAAGGAAACATATAGTGGGGCCCCGGTGCGAAAATTTATCCGTTGGCCCCCCCCCGCGCTTACTCGGCGCGGGTCGGGGCCCCAACACATGGCGGCGGGCACCTGGTCGCAGGGGTTGCAGGGCTGCGACCCCGCGACTGCGGTATGCACACACACTTCAAGGACCACTACAGACACCCAGATCACATCAGCTCAATGAAGTGGTCTGGGTGCCAGGTCCCTCTAGTTTTAACCCTGCAGCTAAAAACATAGCAGTTTCAGAGAAACGGCTATGTTTCACTGAGGGTTAATCCAGCCTCTGGTGGCTGTCTCATTGACAGCTGCTAGAGGAGCTTCCGCAATTCTCACTGTGAAAATCACAGTGAGAAGACAATGAACGTCCATAGGAAAGCATTGAGTAATGCTTTCCTATGGGCGGTTTAAATGAGCGCGCGCGCCTCTTGCCGCGCATGTGCATTCGGAGATGAGAGGCGGAGGGATCCCCAGTGCCAAGGGAGTCCGACACTGGAGAAAGGTAAATGCTGAAGACACACACACACATTCTCACGAACAGACGCATACACACTAGCTAACAGATACACACATTTACTGACATACATACACACTCACTTACAAAACATACACTTTCACTGACAAACACACTCACTAACAGACATCAAACACACTCAGTAACAGACACACACAGTAACACACTCACTAGCAGACACACACCCAATAACAGACACACTCACTGACACACACACTAACACACACTAACACAAACAAACACTAACACACACACCAACACACACACACACTAACACACAAACACACACTAACACACACTAACACACACACACTAACACAAACACACACACTAACACACAAACACTAACACACACATACACTAACGCACACACTAACACACACACACACACACTAACACACACACTAACACACAAACACACACTAACACACACACATTTTTTTAAAAATTTAATCCCCCAGCCTCCTTACCTTTTGGAGAGCTGGGGGGATTCCCTGGGGTCCAGTGGTGCTGCTGGGCGGGCTGGCTGGCTGTCTGGGTGGCCTGCGCGAGGGAGCACGCTCCCCTGTGTGCTTCCTCTTCAGCTCCCTAGCGCTCCGCATAGGGATGCCGGCGCCGGAAGATGACGTCATCTTCCGGCTCCGGCATCAGTGCGGAGCGGGAGGGAGCTGACGAGGAAGCACTCAGGGGAGAGTGCTCCCTCGCGCAGGCCACCCAGACACCAGCCCGCACGCCGGGGTCAGCAGGGCCAGGAGAAGAGGCTGGCCCTGTGGGTACATACCGGGTCGCAGGGGCGGCCGGGCCCCCTGGTGGGCCGGGCCCGGTCGCAGCCACAACCCCTGCGACCCTGGTATGTACGCCACTGAGTGGAACAAATACTAATGCCAGTCATTGATTATGGGGATGTAGTGTATGCGACCTTAGCCTCCAAACCTACCTTCACAAACTTAATACGCTGGATAACTCATTCTTCTGCTTTGTGCTACAATGTATTTACATTACCCACAATTGTGACATGATAAAAGAGCTAAACAATTTTTTATTTTACTTTGGCCTTTCTTATTTAATTTACATTTGATGTACAGTGCTGATAAAGTGATTTGGTCCTCTTTGGCTACTCTACCTCACAAACTCTTTATTCAACAATGCTGCCCCTTACATATACCTACCTTAGCTGGTTTGTAGATTCACTCACTACGACAAGCTATCATTCCCCTTTTATTACCTACACACAGTGGCATACTGTGACAGGGTGCCCGCTGCCATGTGTTGCGGCCCCAGCCCGCACGGCAAACCGCCTGGGCCGCACGTTCAAGGGGCCCATCGGGTGACCAATGCTGTTAGGGCTACCCGATAGAGATGACTTTTCAGGGGGCCCTGGTCAATGCTGTGATGGCATCAGACACTGGGAGGAAGTGACTGCCCATCACTCCTCCCAGCTATCAGGGAGAGCCCACATGGGAGGAGGAGAGGGAGTTAGAGTGGGATCTCTGACTCCCACCAGCCTGAGCCACCACTGAACCCCAGGAAAAGTCACCCTCCTGCACCTAAAAGGTAGGAAACAGGAGGGTGACTTAAACATCTTGTATATGTGTGTTTTTTGTTTGTATGTATGTGTTTGTGTGTCTGTCTGTGTGTGTCTGTATGTATGTGTGTGTGTGTGTCTGTGTGTGTCTGTCTGTATGTGTCTCTGTGTCTGTCTGTATGTATCTGTGTGCCTGTCTGTCTGTCTTTATGTGTCTTTGTATGTATGTCTTGTGTATGTGTCTGTGTGTCTGTCTGTGTCTCTGTATGTATATGTGTCTGTGTGTATGTGTCTGGATGTATGTATGTGTCTGTCTGTCTGTCTCTGTGGGTGTCTGTCGGGGGAGGGGGCAGGACCATGCATCAGTTTCGCACCGGGGCTCCATGGATTGTGTGTACGCCACTGCCTACACGTCTAGCCTACTCTGTGTGCCAGTTGATACGGCTATGTTCTGTGGACGTGTCTGTTTTGCTTTAGTAACTTAATTTTAAAATGAGGCTTTTATATCTCAGAATTTATGGCATTATGCATATGAGTGTAATTTCAAAATGTGACTATTTGCTATAATTCCCTTTCCTCATTCTGTACTCTACCTCTCAATGCCTCTATAAAAAAAAGATTGACAGGGGGAAAAAAAAGACCTAAACTGGCTATTGCTTGAATCCTAACGCATCGTTTATCTTTCCAGCCTTGTGTTTAAGAGCATTTCTGGGAAGCTACCACCCTACCGAATAGGGCTGTTTGTACTTCCTATAACCTCCAATCTATTTTTTTTTTTTGGTAATATTATATTGTATCCTATTGTAACAATGCAGCATTTGTGGGCCCAGAACATACTTAAAATCAAGAAAAATCGCAATGTATTTTATAAATAAATACATGTTGATCTATCAGTTGCTTAGTAGATAGCTCTCTAATTTGATATCCTTACATGGGATTGCCATACCAGATATACCAAATATAAGGGCTCTCGACTAAAGAGCTCCCTCACTTGTAACCTTAAATATGGCAATCTCACAAAGGATTATTAATTTAGGGAGTTACATTTTGATCCAAAAATATTGGGCAAATTCCTTCTGATCCAAATCTCCTCCATTGAATGGTTTGGTTTGGGTGAAATTATGCCAATAATTTTGAATTGGAATTCGATTTGGACAAATCAAATTAAGCGATCAGTGGCTGCATCTTCTCACCAGTTTACTAGATAGGGCAGGCTAATCGAGCTGTTGTCCGTTCTCACCTCTCTTGATACTTGTTTTTTTCAGTTTACTAGATAACTCTGCAAATTTCTCATTGTGCACAAGTCTAAGCTCTGTTGCCCATTCTATCGGTCGATTTGAATGCGAACTTAGATCTTCAACGACAGATTCGTAGTAAATACATTACCACTCAGAACTTTTACACCAACTGATTGCATGTTCCTGCGAGAAAATGATTTCATCTATGTTTTAAAATACCATCCAGTGACCTCATATGCAAATGATCTGCAACCTTCGCAAAAAGCGAATGATTTGCATAATCTGTTTGACCGTTTCTCCCCAGCTATTTATCTCTATAACTATCGAATCCATCTCAAGATAAAAATAATAATTTGCATTTCTAGATATTCCCCACATTTAACGTTTTTGCTTGATTTTTTCAGTTGCACTTAAAAGCAAGAACATTATATTATAGATGCAATTTTTAAAGCTCATTTTCTTCACAAAACTTGTATAATGTATACCTAAGTCTTACAATTGAATCTACTTTTTATATTAAAATAAAGATACAAACAGACTCCAACTAGCAGGCCATGGAGCAGAAATGGGTTAAGGAAAGGGGAGGAAGAGGGTTAGGGGTAATTTAAGGGGGTTCCCCTGGAAGCACTAATCTAAAATCTAGTTGTATTTTCTTTTTGTTTTTTGCCAATTCCTTTTTGCAATTTATATTAAACGTAACTGTGTTATTTTTTTGTAATCACACCTTTAGATAAAACACACATTAAAAGCCAATCAAAAATATTGTGCAATTCTAAACTAAGGTTACACTGCATGGCTTCCTTTACAACGAAGAGTTAAACTGATGTGTCTGCAGTGTCACTGTTTGGAGAATCTTGTGCATTACTGCATTAAGAGCTAATGATCCCATCATAGCAAAACAGCCTTTATAAATCATAAATATAAATGGAATGTTCCACTCATCTAATGATGGCAGGACTGTATAGATTTGCAAATATTAAGTAAGCAGAACATTCCATGCTGGCAAGTGGGCTTCATAGAACAAAGTGTGATGACAGCCTTAAATATCATTGGTCCTCAAAGGGTTTGAGACATATTGATGTGACACTAGGATACACTGTATCCAGCTAGCCACATTAATCTGCACTGGGAACTAACGATGGTGAGGTTTTCAGAGTTAATATTAAATTTCCCATGATCCTCTGCAGAGCATTCCCTTCCGGATCTCTGTTTTGTTGGAAAGGTTCATTCAAGTCCTCGGCAGATGCACAGCTGTGGATACCCAAAGGGCATTTACATAGGAAACCTCTCTGTTTACTTCACTGTCCCTTTAAGGGATTAGATGCAGAAATAATGTCTAAAACTCAGACAGGTAGGTTAATTTTGCTCACCCATCCTCCCCCCCCCCCCAGATTTAAGCCGGCAGGAGATATTTATTATCCTCTAATGATCCTGCAATACATTGCAAAAACATTGGTTGGCCTCCCTCCTTGCATGTAAAGGGTTAAGATCTATCAATGCAAAAAGGGCGAGCTAATTGATTTGTACATTTGGAAATGTCCATGGACTTTTAGCCACTTCCCATGGGCCCGTTTTTAGGTTATAGCCCGAGTAAGATTAGATAATTTAGTTGTTTTTGCAATGAAGGCAGTAATTCTAAATAATTCTATATTTAAAGGGACACTCCGGGGTGGATTTGCCACATAATTTGTATTCATATAGAACCGTATTCATATATATGCTTTAAAAAACAAACACAATAAAACCTCTGAATGTTTCTCTTTTACAGGTTTTTCCACGTTTCAGATTATACTACATAGCTTTTTTTTTTGAGCTGGCTGAGTGTTTTCATGCAGCCCCTGTTCTCCTTTAGCTTGCTGTGGAAGTATGTGTGTGACATCATAGCTTGTGCACACCTATGACGTCACACATGTACTTGCTCACTTAATTCACAGTTTATTTCAATGACTCACAAAGTGCAATGCAGCAGTGAGTGGCATCTCATCAGCGCCAGATTAAGTGCCTGTAGGTTGGTGCTGACAATTATGAAAGGTCGACTTACAGAATCTAATAGAGATACAATGCTAAAACAAACAGCCATGCCTCCCAAATGTCTTGTATCTGGTGGAGATTGTGCCAGAGAGACACTTGCAGGATGCATTTCAGGCCTACGCATACCCTATGTCATTGGTAGGCAACCTTCGGCACTCCAGATGTTCTGGACTACATCCCCCTTAATGCTCTTACACCCATAATGCTGGCAAAGCATCATGGGAGGTGTATTACAAAACATCTGGAGTGCCGAAGGTTGCCTATGCCTGCCCTATGTAACTCTCTCTTCCATATCTTGACCAGGTCTATCTGTTAATCTTACAAATACAAAGCTTTTGTCTCCTCTCACTAATCATAAATGCTGGAATTTTATCTCTTTAGGACTCACTTGTCCACGATTCTCTCCCCCTTCTTACTAGCAGGCAGACTCTTGCACTGGTATGCAGGCTGGGATGGAGAAGTAGGTGGATGTAGTGAGTATAACAGAAAATTGGGCATGCCACATGATGACAGGACAACGCTGGGCTGTTCGAGAGCTAGACATAGCAGTGCGCAAAGCCAGGTTTACGTTAATTGTTTTTTGATCATTGTCCTATTCTATGGCATGGACTTGGAGCTTCAGCTCCACTAACCCCTATATTAAGTTGGCCCTGCATTACATTCATTGGAAAAATGAATTTGTGCAAATGGAGAAAGTGAATGGAATTGTCAAGTGGTTTAGTTATCTTTGTATTGTGAATTGCAATGATAGAAAGACACAATAACTTTAAGAATAATTGAAACATTTTTACTTTAGAAGCACTTGAATACATTGATCCATAAGAGCCCATAAAATGGACTAAATTATACAGTGTGTGGGTGCAGAATGTTTAAATGTAACCAACAAAAACAAGGTAATTGTAATTTGTACTTGGAATACATTGATTGTGGATTCTTACTTTCAAAACTATGAAGCAGAGGTCAGTAATGAGCCAAGAGTCAGAGGTTTATCGAACAGGTTACGAAGGGTATACTGGAGCTATGGCTGAAACAAAACAGTGCAATAGAGTGGTCATGGTGCTTGGGGTCTGTAGTGAAGAATTTCGCTATGAAAAGCTGTGTATGTAGAGTATGACCCATTTGCTGCTGGAGGTGTAACTCCACATCTAGCAGTGTCATAGGGGAGTCATTAGTAAGCCTGGAACAAGTGTAACCCTTTAACACCCTATATCTGTTCACTGATTAACTGGGAACCTGGGTTTCTTTTTGGATAATGCCAGGCTAGAATTTACATTGTTGCACGGCTTAACTTTCAGGACTACGTATCCAGGATATATTCTAAACAAGAGATATAGAAAACATAGAATGTGGTGGCAGATAAAAACCATTCGGCCCATCTAGTCTGCCCAATTTTCTAAATACTTTCATTAGTCCCTGGCCTTATCTTAAGTCTAGGATAGCCTTAGCCTATCCCACGCATGCTTAAACTCCTTCACTGTGTTAACCTCTACCACTTCAGCTGGAAGGCTATTCCATGCATCCACTACCCTCTCAGTAAAGTAATACTTCCTGATATTATTTTTAAACCTTTGCCCCTCTAATTTAAGACTATGTTCTCTTGCTGTGGTAGTTTTTCTTCTTTTAAATATGGTCTCCTCCTTTACTGTGTTGATTCCCTTTATGTATTTAAATGTTTCAATAATATCGCCCCGTCTCGTCTTTCATCCAAGCTATACATGTTAAGATCCTTTAACCTTAACTGGTAAGTTTAACCCTGTAATCCATGAACCAGTTTAGTAGCCCTTCTCTGAACTCTCTCTAAAGTATCAATATCCTTCTGAAGATACGGTCTCCAGTACTGTGTACAATACTCCAAGTGAGGTCTCACCAGTGTTCTGTACAATGGCATGAGCACTTCCCTCTTTCTACTGCTAATGCCTCTCCCTCAATATGTTTAAATACATTTTCCTGGTAAACATATAAATAAATGTTTCATTGACTGCCCAGCCAGCTAACAGTAATGTATTTAGTTTTTTTGTTGTCCTGGGTCAAGCCAAATCTAGACAGTAGGACAAATAGACCCTCCCATTATAAAAAGATAGATAGATAGATAGATAGATAAATATGGCCTTATTGTGTTACTGAATCCCCATATTTGTTTGTCAAAGTATATGAATTTAAGTAGCCTTGATAGTAAAATATTAAGCAATTTTTTGTGTGTGCGCAGTGTCTTAATCTGTATTTTGTATATATGTTGGTCTTTATAGCAGCACCACTGCTTAGAAATAAATGTTTTGGGTGTTCCCCTTTATTTACCTTTTTTTTGAGTAGCAGATAAGCACACAGTTAATTTCCATCACACACACAGGCAGCCTGCTCACAAATGCAATACTCATGTAATGTGAGTGTATGCAAATTATGAGGTCAAAGCATGGTGTCCACATCGAAGAAATGTTTTCAGCATGCAAGATAGTTTTTAGTTTTGAACATCTAGTTTTGTGAGAAGCTTTGCAAATGACTACTATTCACATGACTATGTTCTCTACTTTTTTCAGTTTAAGGTTTACTCCAAGCAACACGGCCACTTAAGTTATTTGAAGTGGTCATGGTGCCTGGAGTGTGTATATGCAGTGAAGCATTTCACTATGAAACCCTGCACATACATAGAGTAATCCCTCTGGTGCAAGAAGTAATGACACTGATGTGTTATCAGCCAGCCCAGAACTAGAGTTCCAATGTCTAATGTCAATTCTATACATATTCTTATGCGCAAAATGACAATCATTGGCTGAGAGTGGTCAGCTGACGCTCTCAGCAAATAAATGGAAAGCAGGATCGGCATCTAGCTCTACAGAAGCACATCACAGCCAGTCTTAAAGTGGGCCAGGTGCCCAGCAGGACCAGGTAAGAGGGCAAATTGTTGCAAACATTACTGGGAGATGGGGCCATGCAACTTCTGGCATCATAACCACTACAGCATGTTTGGAGTAGTTCTTTAATTTAAATATGTGTGCTTCAATCACAAATCCATAGTAGAATGCGGTGTTTAAATGCCATTAATGCCTATTTTTTCAACTCTTCTTATTTCAGAAATGAATACCATTGCCCGTTCTCAGACTTTTAAGAAAAGAAGAGACTCTACTTTGGCAGAAAAAGTTAAAATTCTGGAACTCTTACAGCAACCCAAAGCTTCTCAGTCTTCTGTGGCTAGGAACATGGGTCTGTCACAGTCAACAATCAGTCGAGTGATGAAAAAGAGGGATGAGATCTTGGAACGCTGGAAGCATAACGAAAACCCAAGTCGCAAAAGGAATAGACCTTTCAAACATGCCAAGGTAGATGAGGCATTGCTGGAGTGGCTTCTTTTTGCCAAGGCAAATAAGCTGCCCATTTCTGGGCCTATCCTCATGAGACGGGCAGAGGCTATTGCTCAGGAGATAGGATGTCCACAATTTAAAGCCTCCAATGGGTGGTTGTGGAGGTGGAAAGAGAGGTATCGACTCTTTTACAGGACAGAAGTACTTCCTGCTGAGAAGAAACATACTGACATTGTGCAAGGTCAAGGCATCAAAATGTTTCCAGATGTCACCCAAATGGTAACAATGCAACTTAACAGGGTATCAGCAAAGAGATTTGATGGCTACCCATTAAACAGAGGTGAACTAGTTAGTGGAGAAAGGAACTCGGCTCACATGCATTTAGACCAGGGCGCAGAGTCTTCTGAAGGATATACGCAAGGAAGATGTTTGCTTGCGCATGTTGCAAAAGACTATTGCTCTGATGACATATTTTGTGCAGTAGCCTCTTCCTTTCACTTTAGAATTCCAAGAAGTCAAGGAGACATCACTGAGAAGCAGAAGGAGATAGTTAGTATTTGGTTCTGTTGTAATATAAATGGGACAGAGAAGCTGAAGCTATTGGTCACTCATAACCTCCCACCAAAATCTCTAGGCACCCACTCCATATCTCCTGTGTCGTTGAAAACTAGTGCAAATGGGTGTTTGACCGAGAATCTATTTGCAGAGTGGCTTTTGAGCTGGGATTCAAAACTTAGCAGGCAAGAAAGAAAAGTTCTCCTTGCGTTTAATGCCAACAGCTGTGTGCCAAAAATTAAACTCCGAAATATATCTTTATGTATTTTCTCCAAGGACAATATATCCTCAAACTATCTTTTTGGCCAAGATCTGATAGATGAATTCAATGCTTTCTACCGACAGCTGCTCATTGAAAGACTTGAGGAAGATGCAAATTTAAGCAGAGAAACTGATCTACCCCAACTTATATCTCATATGACACTTGTAGAAGCTAGTTATACCATGAACAAGGCATGGGTGAGAGTGACAGCACGCACCATAAAAAACTGTTTCCAAAAACCAGGAGGCTTTAAAAATGTTTGCCTTGCAAAACATGCTTCAATTGATGAAGATGCTTCATTCTCCACGATGCCGCATGAGAGTAGAAATGGCCACACTTTGGGACAATTCCCTGCCAGTGTTGGAACATATAGAAAAATTACTATCAAAGAAGAGAGTGATGTTGAACAAGAAGGGTTTGGATGTGAGACCATAAGTGAGAATCCATTTAGCCCTATCCAGAAAGTGACAGTCGGATTCTTGTCTGGGGAGACAAGTACTGATAAGTTATTTGCTGAGTACTCAGGGGACCAGTCTGGAATAGACGTCTCTCATTCATATCCGAAATCTTTGAATGGTAATAGAATTTCTGCAGTTGCAATTAAATCTGAAGATCCAGGACATCAAATCCATGTGCATGAACTCAGAGAGGCTTGCAGTGTGATCCACAGATACTTGTCTGCTGAAGGCCAAGACATGAGTATTTTTTGTGCACTTCAGAATCAACTGCAAAGATGCTTGTCTCGTCAACACAGAGAGAAATACTAAAATTAGGTTTTGATAAAACCAAACGTAACCAGAGACCTTGTGAATGGTATTTACAACTGTTAAGTAAACCTGTCACCTGAAATCACCTTTAAATTATATAGTAAACAAATACAAAAAAAACAGGGCAAAAGCTATTAAAATATTTGTCATAGTTAATATAATCCTTATTTTTATAATGCCATATAAATTTGTGCATCTATGTATATGGACCAATATATAGGCACTTTTGAGCCTACACCACTGAATAAAAAGTACATTAAATTGATTTAGCAATATACAAAAAAATGTAGGGAAATTATTCCTAATTTGTACTGGTAAGAAACGAGAGCCTATTTAGTATTAGAGCTATATGCAGAAATCATTCCGGTGGGTGACAAAGCTATTACATGTCTAGTCACTATCCATCGTACGCACCATTTAAATCAAGAAAAGGGCCGTTTTGAGAAGGGCAATTTGCCCCATTATGCCTTATGCTGCAGATCCAATGTTTGAGGCAACTACTCCTCCCTAAATAACATATTAATTGATACACTCTGGATTTTAGGTGACAGGGGCACATTATTGCAATAATACCAAAATGTAATTCCTTTCCTATGAAACCTCTTTGGAAATCAAATTTTGGAGTTTGGAGATCTGTCAGCCTGATAGTCATAATACTCCTTAAATGTAATTCCAAAAACTAAAAACTGGCAGATATTCATGGACCCAATGCAAGGATTTTTATTAAGGCTAATCCTTTCATGGACCTCAAGCTTACTGCAAACTCATCCAAGGTAGTTTTACCTCAATGGCAGAAGTGTTTGGCTGTATAAGAATGTGTCTGTTACATATGTATTATTTCAAAGAACAAGGGGACAGGACTATGTATAATGCTTGTTTACTTATTAAATGATAAAACCCCTTTGGTATTCTCCCATGTCCTTGTTAAGAGAACAATAGAATATATTGACACGAGAGTGAGGTAAAACAAATGTAAAAATATATTACGAGGCTTACACAACATTCTATCTTTCCAGTATGAGCATATTGGTAAGTGGAGTGTGTCCAGATCTGAGAGTTTTCTTCTTCTTCTGGGTATTTATTACCAAGGACAATTGGTATCATGTAGACTGCCTTTAAATAAGGAAAACGGAATAGAAGTAAGAGAAAGAGGAGGTGGATCCAAATTGTATGGTTCCACATATTTCTCATTTTCTGGCCTGCATACAGTATCACCAACTTGTAAAACAAACACAAGGTAAACATTTTAGCAAGTGTATAGAGTAGGAGTAGGCAACCTTCAGAACATCAGATGTTGTGAATTACAATACCCCTGATGCTGGAACTAGCATTTAGAACATTATGGGAGATGTCTACATCTATAGTGCTGAAAGTTGCATATCCCTGGTATAGGGTATCATCATTCATGTTGATAAACAGAACATTCACATTGAAATCCATGAAGGATCTCAGAAGAGACTAAAGAGATAGAACAAACAGAAGCGTTTGAAAGATCATTTATCAGAATTAAAAAATAAACAAATTCTACAAAAGGTATAAAAAAATAATGATAATACACAAGCTTAGTTGTATTTGGTGACTGAACACCCTAAGGGATATCCAATTACTATGCTTAAAAGAACAAACCTGCATTACTAAAGCCTTAGTGCCCCTGTCCCGTGGCGTAACTACCACGCATGCAGGGGTCGCAGCTGTCATAGTGCAGTAGCCAGGTAACCAACAGGCGGGGAGCCCACTGCACAATGCTCCTCTTCCTGCCAGTCACTGCATGTAGTTCGGCTACACTACATGGAGGTCAGTAGGCAGAGTAGTGGGTGGGGGGGTGCTTGGGGAATGAAGCAAATGGAGGGGGTGGGAAGCATGAAACACATGGAGGAGCTGGGGTGGAGAATGAGACCCATGGGGTGGATGAGACACATGGAGGAGTAGGGGTGGGAGGATGTGACACATGGAGGGGCTGGGAGGGTGAGACACATGGAGGGGCTGGGGAGGGTGAGGCACATGTAGGGGCTGAAAGAGGGAGAATGAAGAATTATACACATGGAGAGGCGGGGGGGTATGAGACATAGAGGGGCTGGGGAAAATGAGACACATGGAGGGACTGGGGGAAGAATGAGACACATGGAGGGGCTTGAGGGTAGCCTATTGCTGGTATAGCCATGTTGATAAACAGAACATTCATGTTAAAATCCATGAAGGATCTCAGAAGAGACTAAGGAGATATAACAAACAGAAGAGTTTGAAAGGTAATGTGACGGACCGTCTGGCACTCCGACCGAGTGCCTCCCCCAATCGATGCTCCTAGTGCTCACTGATGAATTCCAGCACTCCACCAGACACCATAAGCACTGCAGTGATGCAGCTGCGCCGGGGAATCGCCGTCCTTCACTCAACCTGGACCCAAGTCCAGGATCCAGCTTCCAGTGGGCAGACCTCTCCTACTCCCAGAGAGCGTAGCAGGAACAGCTCTTATAAGAGCTAGTGGTTATAATTCCTGGGCAGTATAGTGCTATAGCAATCCCCAGGATAGATAGAGCCATTTCCCCCACACATGAGATGAGACTCTATGTTGAGGGTAAGCAGGAACAGAACACTGGCCTTTTATGCAAGTTTCCCAACAAGGGTGACACCCAGGTGGACCTTGTTGGGCACAGGGACACAAAGTGAATTAACCAATAAAAACAGAGTCATACAGTGAGACTCTCCCATACACAAACAATAGAATCCCTCCTCTGTGCTTGGGAGATAATAGAATCAGGAACTGTACCAATCTAACCCAATTATCTCCAAGCACAGAAAAACATACAATTTTATGAAACTCCAAAAAGTACCTTAAAAAAACAGAAAACCCCATACATAGTTACATTCCCCGATAGCCCCGATCTGGGTGAACAACATATCCAAAAATCACCCAGATCGGTTCAGGAATTTCCTGGAAGTCATAGTTTTGACCTACTGTGCACATGGTCCTATGCCCAAAACAGTTCCAGGGAAATCAGTGCTAACATTTGGTCAAGTTCGGTAGTCTTTTACAGGTTCCCCTGCAGGGCCCATAGTCTGTGGGCAGGAGGCTGGCAAGCAGGCCCCTCCAAGTACAAGTGGCGAGGTTACTTTCGCCACAGGTAATTTATCATAATTTAAAAAAAAAAACAAATTATACAAAAGATAAAAAGGTATAAAAAGTAATGAAAACACACAAGCATAGTTGTTGTATTTGTAGACTGAATACACTATCCAAGTCCTAAGCTTAAAGGAACAGTAAAGCATTAGGAATACAAAGCTGCATTCCTAATGCTTTAGTGCCTCTGTACCGTGGCATAGCTACCACGGATGTAGGTGTCGCGGCTGTAATAGCGCAGTAGCCAGATGATCAACAGGAGGGGAGCCCATTGCACAATGCTCCTCTTCCTGCCAGTCACTGCATTTAGCTCAGCTACACTACATGTAGGTCAGTAGGCAGAGGAGGGGAGGGGGTTGGGGAATGAGACACATGGAGGTAGTGGAGAGAATGAAACACATGGGGGGTGGGAGGATGACACACATGGTGGGGTTAGGGTGGGAATGAGACACAGGGAGGTGCTGGGGTGGGAATTAGACACAGGGAGCGGCTTGGGGTAATGAGACACATGGAGGGACTGGGAGAGAATGAGACACATGGAGGAGCTGGGAAGAAGAATGAGACCCATGGGGTGGATAAGACACATGGAAGAGTGGGGGTGGGAGGGTGTGATACATGGTAGGGGCTGAGAGGATGAGACACATAGAGGGGCTGGGGAAGGATGAGACTCATGGAGGGGCTGAAAGGGGGAGAATGAAGAATTAGACACATGGAGGAGTTGGGGGGGAGAATGAGACATGGAGGGGCTTGGGAGGAGAATGAGACACATGGATAGGCTTGAGTGGAAGAATGTGACACATGGAGGGGCTTGAGGGGAAATGAGATGCATAGAGGGGGAGGGGGAATGAGACACATGGAGAGGCTGGGGGCAATGAGATATATAGAGGGGGTGGGGGGAGGGATTTGGGGGGAAGAATGAGCACATGGAGGGCCTGGGGGAGAACAATGAGACACATGGAGGGGCTGGGGGTGAGAATGCGACTCAAGGAGGGGACCAAGAGCAATATTTTCACCCGGGCCTAATGGTTTCTAGTTATGCCCCTGTCCCTATTTAAGTATTGCTCTCCTTCCCTATTTGCCATAAAAATAAATAAAATAGATGATTTACTTTCTTTTTTCCATCACCGAGGCTACCTCAGCATTGCTTACCTCTCCACCTCATGGCCTCCTCCATCGATGGTGCAATCCAATGCTCCTCATAGCGCTTCTAAGCTTCCCCATAGGAAAGCATTGAAATAGTGCTTTCATATAGGGGCTTCTGCCTAACGTAATCAAGTTATTCAATATGACAGTCACTAGAGGAAGATTTAACCCTGCAATGTAATCCTTGCTGTTTCTAAAAAAAAAGCAATAGTTTATATTGCAGGGTTAAAACTAAAGGACCACTGCACCCAGGCCTGGATGACTTTAGTGGTCTTTAAGCACAATGCTCCTTCACATATGTGCCAGCATATTTTCTCCTTCCTCACTAAGGGTTGTATTGGGAGGTTTTAGCTGTTGTTTGCGCCTCACTTATTACTTTTTTATTTTGCATATCTGTAATGTCACAGCTGATTAATTCCATTCCAAATTCTTTAACTCTGTTTCCTCTTGTGGTTCGAGTACCAAGCATCCCAAGTTGCAAGAGAAACCTAAACCAAACGGTAAATGGTAAATCTACCATAAAAGGTGTTACAGTAATCCCAATAGCCAAAAAACTGCTCCTTTTTGTGCCATTGAGCCAAAATTCTATATATAGCATTTTTAATTTTATGTAAAACTAGGGAAAGTGACCTCAACTTCTAGTTACCAAACATAGTTGACCAACTAATTTATTGTAAAAATGTTGAGGTCTCTCACTATTCTGCTGGATATAACATTCAACGATCTGACGCAGTATCTATACCAGGGGTAGGCAACCTTCAGTACTCCAGATGCTGTGCACTACATCTCCCAGAAAACTCCTACAACCAGGGTTAGACAGGGAGAAAAATTCAGCCCGGGCATTTTTTTATCACAGCGGCCCACTAAGAAGGCGGCGGGGCAGAGAGGGTGTTTCGTCATCACCAATGACAAACACGCCCCCTCTCAAAGTGAGCATGTTGGTTCAATGCTTTTCCAGGGCAGACCATGTGCAGAACTGAGAAAAAAAGCCCTGTATTTGTTCTGCACAGTGCAAGCAAATGTAATAACATGCTTGCACTGTGTTTCCTTGCAACTTGTCTCTGGTGTCTCTATAAATGGATACCAGGAGACAAAAGGTCCAGGAAAGAGTATTGTGCATGTGTTTGGAGCCTGCTTGTGGGATTGCGTGTGTGTAGAGTGAGCTGATTGTGTTGTGGTATTGTGTAATAAGGTCGATTTTAGTCGTGTTGTATTTTTGGTGTAATGTAATGCATATGTGGCTAGGGGCTGTAGAGAATGTGTGTATAGGGGATGTAGTAAGTGTGTGCATACAGGCTATAGTGTGTGTGTGTATATAGGTGATGTAGTGTTTGTAGGGGTTGTAGAAAGTGTAGTGTGTGTGTATACAGGAGTCTAGTGTGTGTTTGAAGGACCCAGAATGTGTAGAAGATCTAGTGAGTGTGTGTATATAAGAATTCAGAGTGTATAAAGGGATCTAGTGTGTGTATATGATCCAGAGTTCGGTAAGGGATCTAGTGTGTGTCTGGAATGTAATGTGTTTAGGAGTGCAGTATGTGTGTGAGGGGTGCTGTAGTATGTATACAATATAAATATGTTTGGAAGTATTGTGTGTGTGTGTTTGATGCAGTGTGTATGTGTGAGGGGTGCAGTGGGTGTCT